AAAAAAAAAAAAAAAAAAAAAAAAAAAAAAAAAAAAAAAAAAAAAGAAAAAGAAGCAGCAGCAGCAGCAAAAGAAAAAAATAAAAAAAATAAAAAAAAAGAAAAAAGTTTTACTTGACGAATTGCTGCTGCATATCTGGCTGCGTATCTGTTTTTGTGTTTTGTTCGGTTAGCTTCTGTCTCAGCAGTGTACACAATAAAACCATCAATACAATAGGCACCATCACCCAGGAACCTATCTTATAGTCTAATACAAGCAGCTCCATACTCATATATATATATAAACCCTAAACCCTAAACCCTAAACCCTAAAAAACCCTAAACCCTAAACCCTCGAGGAAAGCTGAATTTGCGAGAGGGGAGGAGAAGAGGGGAAAATGTTTTTTTTGGGGGATTCAGACTTATAAAATAAAAAAATAATAAATTATTTTTTTTATTTTGTTTTTATTTTTATTTATATGCAATAAATTCAACTTTTTATTCTCCTGTTGTGACCCCGGTCAGCTGCGGTGTCTAGGCAGCTGCTCATCGTGCTGCAGAAGGTGTATAGAAACGGGAAAATAAATTAAATTTTCAGAAAATATAAATCATGAATATATTTATTTTAATTTAATTATTTTAAAAAACTTTTTTATAAAATCTAAACCCTCGCTAAACCACCCCTCCACCACAGCCCCCCAGCCCAGCTTCATCTCATGCATGCCCATCTGCAGAATACAACATAAGCCGGTGAAATAATACCTTGATCGTTTTATTTTCTTGTATTTTATGCAAAAATATAAAAATAAAACAAAAATATCTCTAAAAATACCTTTTTTTTCTCTACAGATCCTCACAAAACGAACAAACTCTGAGCTGTCTATACACCGCAATCGCTGCTCTTCTGCTGCTGGGTTTCCTTCGCCTACACTTGTATTGCCATTCATCTGTTGAATTTGTTGTTTTTTTTTGCTTTTTTTCTTTTCTTATTAAATTAAATTAAATAATTTAATAATAAAACAAAAAAAACACAAAAATTTTACGCCAGAAGCCTCCCCACCCCCGCGTAATCGGTACCCTGCTGAGGGCGGCGAGGGCTTCTCTTCTTCGTCACGATGGGTAAGCAGAGGAGATTCAACTTTTTATGTTTTTATTTTCTTTTTTTTTTGTAGTTTAGTGCATTAACTTGCACTAATTTAAATATTTAACGAATGCCAGCACATGCTGCAGCAGCAGCAGCAGCAGCAGCAGCAGCAGATGTAGCCGCAGCAGCAGCAACACACACACACGCCTTCCTCCCTCTATATTCATATTTCAGCTTCTTTTTGATTGCATGCATATCAGACATGTTGTAGCTCTTTCAAACTTATTCATTTCTTTGCTGCTGCTGCTGCTGCTGCCGCTGCTGCTGCTGCTGCTGCTGCTGCTGCTGTTTGTTTGTTTCTTGTGCAGCTGTTGCAGACAACTGGGAGGACCTTCTCGATGAGCTGGAGGAGCGTAAGCTTTCTTCTTGCTGCTGCTGCTGCTGCTGCTGCTGTTGCTGCTGCTGCTGCTGCTTCTGTTGCTGGTGCTTTCCCTGTTGCTGCTGCTGCTTTTTGTGTTGCTGCTGTGCCTGCGTGCGCTGTCGCTGCCGCCGTAGTTGCTTTTTCTGCTGCTTCTGTGTCTGCTGCTGTTGCTGCTGTTGCTGCAGCGTTCGCTGCTGCTTCTCCTGCTGCTGTTGCTGCTGCTGCGTTTCCACTAAACCCTAAACCCTAAACCCTAAACCCTAGACTGTTTGTGTTTTTGTTTGGTTGCAGCAGCAGCTCCTCCTTGCTCCCCAGAAGCAGCAAAGCCAACCAAGACAAAGAGCCCGCTGCAGCAGCAGCAGCAGCAGCGGCAGCAGCAGCAGCAGCAGCAGTTTGATGAGCCGCTAGATGATCCAATGGAAGAGAGACTGAGAAGGCAAAAGTACGTCTTCTTTTTGCTGCTGCTGCTGCTGCTGCTGCTGTTGCTGTTGCTTCTGAATACTGTTTGCTGCTGCTGTTGTTAGGATTGCTGCTGCTGCTGCTGTTGCTGCTGCTACTAGCTGTTCTTGCTGTTGTTACTGTTTCTGCTGCTGCTGCTGCTGGTGTTAGTACTGTTGCTGTTGCTGCTGCTGCTGCTGCTTTTATACTTTTGTTGTTGCTGCTGCTGCTGCTGGTGTTCTTACTGTTGCTGCTGCTCTTGCTGCTATCATACTGCTGCTGCTGCTGCTGCTGCTGCTGCTGCTGTTACAACCGTTTCTGCTGCTGCTGCTGCTGCTACTGCTGCTGCTGCTGCATTTACCCTCCTCCCCCTCCACCTCCTCCCCCTACTGCTGCTGCTGGTGCTGCTGCTGCTGCTGCTGCTGCTGCTGCTGCTGCAGGCTAACAGAAGA